CTTCATCCAATCTGGACATGGACTGCTACCACCCCTTCGATAACCACCTTTGTTCGACTTTGTTATTCGAAAATTTCGTGTGGCCAAAGTAAAGTTTATGAGACGGAAATTTAGATCAAATAAATCATAATATCTACATTAATTATACTGGTGGGACACTAATAATTAAGCAATTGAGATAAATATGGAACGAGTGGATCATGCGTGAAGATCAGATTATGTCCAATCGTCTCCAATTTTCCTTTTTGATTTTTTAAAAGATATGTTAAATTCGTAGATATTTCCAGAATACATATTTCCATGAGAAAAATGTTGTTTTTCAAATGTGCGAATTGTTATACTGTGCAAAAATTTATTAGGATGGTTAACACAATTAAGATAAATAATAATGCAGCAAATGTGTAATGAATATCCTCCTTGAAGGATCCTTCGTGAAGGATCTGATTTTCTAATCGTCTCCAATTTTCTGAACCGATTTTTTAAAAGACATGTGGCCAAGGTATTTTACATAACGGACGGTAGAAACTCCACGTTTGGCACCACTCACAAAGCGGCCTCAGTTCCGCGGATGATGACCATTTATCGTTCTTTACATTTTGCGAAAAGGGAACGTAATGACGGAGACAATCGGATTTAATTATTTTGCATTTCTCGCCTCTGGGAATTTATTTTAAAATTTTGGACGACAGATTTGTAATCAGTGAGTTGATTAATGGAATGGTCGTGAGTTTTTTGAGCCAGTTACGATGAGTTTCAATTTTTTGAAGGCTTCTCAAACTTGAGATCTCCTCCGTCAGAAAGTGTCTAAATCTGGAGTGTATATTTTCAAAAAATTGACAACTCCCTGCTCTACAAATTAGTCTTCCAGAATTTCAAAATAAATTCCCAGAGCCGAGAGCTCCTTAAACATGTTCGGATTTTTACGTACCAATATTTTAAAAATCAACACATTTCTCGGCTCTATGTTTATGTTTATATTTTATTTTATGAATATTTGAAACAAGACAAAATTTTAAAATACATTGTAACGTGGTGAACATGAATCTTTCCATTTCAATTCATAAAGCAACAATTTCCAAATCGTAAAAGTCAACACAGTTTCAATAATTTCTCGATCCTGTATTATCTCGATCCCATATTTTGCATTATTTTATTTATATTTGACGTCAATTAGTTCTGGTCACACCATCACAAAATTTGACTTTCACGTAGGATGGAAATGGATCTGTCATTAAACTTAAATATATTAAAACACAATTTTTTAAAAATGGAATACAAATATTACAGAAAATGATTTTAACCCGATAAAAACCTGCCCAGTGACACGAATCACTTCATTTTGATTTTAAACTACAATTTTGACCTGGTGGGTGTGGTCGGGCTAAAAGTCAACTCAGAATCTTTATTTGATGTCAAATTTACGTAGGTAGGCGTGTAAATTTTCTGGGATCAGTGAAGAACTGAAGTTTACAAACTTGTTTACAGCTTATAAAATCTGTAAATAAATTTGAATTTGAATATTTAAATGTTATCATGAAATATTTGAGACGCATGAAAATTTTGATTTCAAAAACATTTGATTTAACATTTTGAATTTTCATAAATTTAATTTAGACTATAAATTTACTCAAGTAAATGAATTGGTTGCAAATGAAAAGTTATTCGGATTATTTTCTTCCTGAAGTGAGTAGCAAACTGGCAAAAATCCAACGAGATAGAAATTTTATTACAAGGATTGTACGGCACACGTTTTGCTACAAAGATAATTTTGGAGTTGCACAATTTCAATTTTGACATTTGTTGGAAAAGATGTAAAACGACATTTTTTGTGCATAATTAAGTGCTAGAATTCGAGTAAAGTTAATTATCTTGCTAGTTCCACCCACTTTTAGACCACTCAACGTGAGCCCTTAATAAGTTTCATGCACGTGTAGTAAATACTCTAATTTATTAAAATCTCAAATTTCCCAAGGTTAAAATGTATAAAATTAAGAAAATTCTACTCAAATGCCACGTTAATTTTAAAACATTCGATATAAAGTTTAGCTGGAAATAAATGATTTACTCATTTCATGAAGCTCACCATGCATCTGTTGCTGCATGCAAATTAATGTAAATCTTTGGAAATAAAATATTGACACCGAGCCGTTGCAAGAGCAGCATTTGTTCCAAAAAGTGGTGTAAAACTGCATTATTTTTGAAGAGTGAAGCTTTAGACTTTATCGATGAATCACTTATCAACATATTTGTTTTCGGGAAGAAATAATCTCAAGCCCGTTTTCATAAGAATATACATGAAAGCTTTCTCTAATTTGACTTTGACCATTTCTAGCACCGTTCTACAGGGAAATTCAGATCCTGTCGTTCTTTTTGGATCAGAGGTTGGTGTGAAATTGTCGTCTATATTTGAATTTAGAGTATTGATTAATGACTAATATTTAAATGTTTCTATTTCCTCGAGAAATCTATCAAACTGAATGTGGACGACATGATTAAAGGTTTCGGGACAAATCAGTACATTTGCAACCTGGAATACGTGGGTGTTTTATTATTAATTTTCAAAAGGTATGTTCCGCACTGTTTCTGACCAAACTTTTGATGAAATAACAAACTTCAAATACTTTTAGGATGCTGTGATTTTTTTCAGTTCTGTAGGTTAACATTAACACTAGCAATAACTCATTAAAATTTACCTCGAAAATATGCCAAAATTTACGACTTGATTTCATTATCATCCGAAAACCGTTTTCCCCTGATGTTTTTCTTTAAGTTTCGAAACGAATAATAATCACTAAGGGACAAGTCTGGACTGCACGGGGCGTGGTTTGTGCAGGTAAAGCGATTTTCGTCTGCACTAACCCTCGCAAAAAGCCAGGTATGAGGTGGCGCGTTGTCGTCTAAAAAAAGGCCAACTCTTTATTTTGACCCCACGTTTCTTTTCAACCGGAGGACGCAGTTCCTTCGGGGTTCCTGCATACACGGCCCCATTTATTGCAGTATTACCAGCAATAAATTTTATAAGGAGGGGACCTTTGGTATCCTTGAAAATGGTCATCATCAATTTTTTTGTCAGATTTTTGCACTTTTCAATTCACGGGCGGTGGCAACCCCTCGTGCTTCCAATGAGGGAATTATTATTTGGTCACCGGGTCATAATAGTAAACCCAAGTACCATATGCAGCTAATAAAATATTGAGCAGGTTCCAGTTTTCATTTAATAGGTTAAAATTTGCATTGCAAAAGTCGCCTCGATCCTGTTTGTGAGATGCCGAAAGCAATTTTGGTACCCAACGGACGGAAACCATTTTCATACCTAAGTCTTCAGTTAACATGGAACAAATTGCTGGTTTTGGAACACCCATCTCATCTGCTATATAGGACAGTTTCAATCGCGGATCTCTCATTATTGGTTCCTCTAGTTTCCGGAGCCTTTCTGTGGAAGAAGCGGATTTTGAGCGTCCTTGCGACTTTTTGCCCGAGACCTCGTTTCGCCATCATTAAAAATTATTGACCCAATTTAATTTGTGTTTTGTGTTGGGCAGTTTTCATTGTACATTTTAAGCATTCAACCATAAATCTGCGACACGTATTGCCCATCCAGCATTAAAAATTAAATCACACTACTATATTTAATTTGCAAATCTAGCATTTTTTTCGTCGAGGTAAAGTTTGCCGATTTATTGCTAGTGTTTATGTTAACCCACAGAGTTGAAAAAAATCACAGCCTCCTAAATGTATTTGAAGTTTGTTATTTCATCACAATTTTGGTCAGAAACAGTGCGGAACATACCTTTTGAAAATTAATAATAAAACACCTACGTATATCCGGAAACACCGACCGAAAACGTTCAAACTTTTATCGACGCGGTCAGAAATTTAAAAATTGAATAATTACCAAATGTGTAATATCTAAAACGAATGGCAAATAAATATTTTTATGAAACACAACTTCCAAATTTTATTTATCGGTTAAAATTGATGCTTGCGAGATAATCGTTGCATGAAAATTCTGAGTTGCTTTTCTCAAGTGATGCTTTTTAACCACACATGCCTGGATCTACTTAAAACATAACACGAAGAATGTACATACACTGCTTACCAAAGTTTGGTAATCGATCATTAATCACAACTTACAAATTTTGATGGAGGCCAATTGCCTAATTTGAAGACTATTAGAAAATGTACAAAAGAAGAAAAATTAAGATTTTGCTGATAGAGTTATACTTCGACATTTTTTATGCAATTCAATTTAGCATGAAATTATATGTACACAAATAAAACATGGCATTTATAAATATATTTTAAAATGTTTCAAAAAGCAGTCGAAGATTACAAATTTAGTCAGATTCGTGTCATTTATTAAATGACAGATTAGATGTTCCAAAACTTTTTCTGTAAGGAAATTGTCTAATTAAAAATGATTTTCGCGAAAAAGTGAGATTTTGACCATTTGTCATTTTTTCGCAAATATCATCCTTATTTTTAATTAGACAATTCCTTTGAAAAAGTGATTAACTACGTCTAATCTTTATGCCTTTGAAAGAAGACTTGTGAAAAATTATGTATGTCATTTTCCTATCAATTGATGTTGTTTAATATTATTATCCTAGTGTCATCCTTGTTAAAGTTGCGTTGAAACGTTTAAAGTTTTATTGGCTCATTCGATAAGTACGTGCATAATAAAATATTACAATCTAACTGTTTGCTCCGCTTCGGTGGTAATAAAAATCATGTTAAATACTTTTGTGTGTGTACAATAAATAATTGCAATTCATATGCATAGAATAATAGGAATCCTATAATTGTATTCATACCACACAACTAGATTTCATAAGCTTATCGATGAATCACTTATCAGCATGTCGGTTTTCAGCAAAAAATAATCTCAAGTTTTCATAAGAAATATGCATGAAAACTTTCTCCAATTTGATTTTGCTCTAGTTCAACGTCGAAAAAGTCTCATCATGAGATTCTCATGCCAAAGCCAGGTTTGTTTAACAGGCGGCAGTTGAGCAGCAGTTTTGTGCCGGTGTGGATTTTAACAAAATTTTTGTTTAGTTTGCTAAATAAATATCGTTGAACTCGTTAATTTAGAATTATTTTCAAATTTCAAAGTTTATTGTGCATCAATCACATTGTGCAATAATGCCTCCCCACTCGCTGAACCTTGACATGAAGACGGTAAAAAAGCAGGTCGTTCGGAAGTACACAATTGCAGACTGCAATTTGCAGTCGACGAGGTTTAGCAAAAACTGTGAAATGGTAAGTAATAAAATAATTCAAGCTGGTGATTAATTACACACATTAAATTTATTGCTTATTTGACGAGTTAATTGTTTATGCAGGATGTCCGAGCTCAATTTTGCCTTAAACCATGTAAAAGTTGATATTCAGAACTTATCGGATTATTCTGCACTATCGTTTGAGTAAAGAGAATTATACGATACTTATCTCCTTTGCAAGACCTATTTCGATAATGGAGAATATTTGAGGTGAGCTGATTCTTAATTTTTTAAGTATTTTTTAAATTGTGCATTGTTTGGTGTGACTATAATTTAATTTAATTACCAGGTGTGCATTTGTCGCTGAACCATTTTCCAAGTTGTGTCCAATTCTGCGATTTTTGCGTTTTTATTCTCTGTTTTTGGATTGTGAAAAGAAACGGTTGGAAAGCATGAGTGAACTTACAGGTAGGAAAAGGAATTGCCTTGCTATGCAAAAAAGTATGTTATAATTTGATGTAATTAAGATATATGATTAAATTGATAGCTGTTCTGTCGGATCCAAAACAATGGGACAATCGAGAGAATTGACAAACAAAATACTAGCTTCGTATGATGAGAATATTGATCCACAAGATTACGACCCCTATGATTTATACCTCCTGGGAATGATTAACCGACGACTTGAAGACACTGATGTATCAACAGATTATCTGATGGCGTCTATATCTTCGAATAACTATATTTGGGGGCATGGGTGGAGTTGGCCTTTCTAATTATGGATAGGAAGCGGGTAATTAGTTTAATGCAATGTGTAATATCGATTTTATAATCATTCGTGTTATAATTTTGAATTATTTCAGTTAGGTTATTGGAGCAAACACTACCCAATTGTTGGATGAAGTACTTCTTTGTCGGCCACATCTCTTCAAAGCTTCACATGAACGAGAAAGCACTTCGGACTTATTTTGCACTTCAAAAGTCTGGGTTTCATAACAGCGTGTATATTAAAACATTGCTATTGCGTATCATAATGTACAACGTAAGGAAATAATTTAATATAAAATGCCAATTGCGATTTTGATTTTTAAACTTTTTTTAAAAAGGTGTTGATGAGAGGCGATTGATATTCGATTTAGAGGACAGATTGGATGAAATGGATCTTTATTCGAATATGCTGTATGTAAAACTAGAAAAATACTTCCTGCTAGTTTAGCAAACAAGTCTGTTGAAATCGATAAATATAGGGTGGAAACATGTTGCATCATAGGTAAGCTTTTTTACAGTTTAAACAGGATAATTCAAAGACAATTAAATAGTTCAACCATTTAAACAGGTAACTTGCACAGTCTAAAGAGAGAACATCCCAAAGCAATAGAGTATTTTGAAAGAGCTCTAATTCACCCCTACTACTTATCGGCTTGGACTCTTATGTGTCGTGAGTTTATGGAGTTAAAGAATTCCAATGCCGCGATCCAATGTTATAGAGAAGCTGGTGGTAATTCAAATTTTTCTAATGTTTTCGTTTTTGATGTTATCAGGGTTGGATGATGTCATTTAAGTGTTTGTTTTATATTTTTAGAAGTGAACAAGCACGATTATCGACCTTGGAATGGACTTGGACAGACCTACGACATATTAAACATGTCTGGTTACATAAGCAAGCGCATCGTATGCGACCGAATGATAGTAGATTACTAATTGCTCTTGGTGAAGCTTACGAGAAACTGGACAGGCCTCGATGTGCTGGTAAATGTTACGAGAGAGCAAGACAATTGGGTGATGATGAAGGATTGGCCATTCTAAATTTGGCAAAGTAATTATTTAAATTTATTTGTATACACTTTGTTAATTAATTAACATGACGGTATTATGTAACATTGGTATGTTTTTTCATAAAGAATGCTGAATGGCACTGATCCAGAGAAAGCATGCAGAGCATATTTGGAGTATTTAAATGAAAAGGATGCGCAGAATGTGGCAGATCGAGATGAACAAGGAAAACCCCACATTTTATTGTCCAATTACTACTTTACAAAGAAGGACTTCGAAAGTTCTCATAAGCATGCACTCAAATGCTTAGAATTCCCTGAGGTATTAAAACTATAAACTTATTTCCTATATTCATTTTCTTATTACAAAAAATTTGAATTGTCATTTGCTTTTAGGTGAAAGATGAAGCGGTCCATCACAAGCTGCTGACATCTTAAACTGAGAACATCTCTCCAAATTCAAATACAACCAACTCATCGTCATCATGTCTGGCCGTGGCAAGGGAGGAAAGGTGAAGGGAGAGGCAAAGTCCCGATCCAGCCGAGCAGGACTCCAGTTCCCAGTGGGTCGTATCCATCGTCTTCTGAGGAAGGGCAACTACGCCGAGCGAGTGGGTGCGGGTGCCCCCGTCTACTTGGCTGCCGTCATGGAGTACTTGGCCGCTGAAGTCCTCGAGTTGGCTGGAAACGCTGCCCGAGACAACAAAAAGACCAGGATCATCCCCCGTCACCTCCAACTCGCCATCCGAAACGACGAGGAGTTGAACAAGCTGCTCTCCGGGGTCACCATCGCTCAAGGAGGTGTCCTTCCCAACATCCAAGCCGTCCTTCTCCCCAAGAAGAAGGAAAAGAAGTCCGCCTAATCACAAATCTACACGCTCAAAACCCAACGGCCCTTTTAAGGGCCACCACATTATCCAAAGAGCTCAAAAAATGCATTATTATGACCATGCGCTTTCTTCGTTCATCATGCTCAACTTGGCTTCATCAAAGTTTCATTTTTTAGAAATTATTGGCAACAAAATAGCGCAATTAGTACTAATGATGTACAAAAAGATGAAAAGGTCATTATTTTTCCTTGTTCATTTCCAGAGCATTTACTGTTACAAATGAAATCAGTAATTTCATCCTCCTCCTTTATACGATAGTAAAATTTACTATCGTATAAGTTATTTTTTTATTTAAAAATAATAATACGTTCCTTCATAGTACTCGTTCATGTTTTATACAGGATTTTTAGCATTCTACCAATTCATTCAAATTCATGGGTGTCGTCTGTGCAGGCTCTCGTCAAAATTTCATATACATGTTTGTGTTCATTGGGTAGCAGACAAAAATTGATAAAATTATAATGTTAAATTGGTTAACGGAACGGATGAAGAATTATATATTTTCAGCTTATTTAGACAATAATCGAGTCAAAATGCAATCTCACTCTGCCTCAATTTTAGCAGTTGAATAATAAAGTGATTGCATAATCATAACAAGGTTATAACAAACCTTGACTTGTTTCATGGAAATATAATTAATGACAAGGCACGTGGGATTCGAGATATTTCTTAGAATTACAAACAAATGCAGTTCATACAAACTCTTTGTATGAACTTGAATTTAAATAAATTCAAATTTAAATATTATACAATGTTTGGGGGGTATTTAAGCGAATGATCCGTAGACCTATATGCCCATGCTACGCAAAATTGATTCATTACATACCCCTGAATTGTATCTATAAGTTTTTGTAAACGAAAAAAAAAATATCGAAAATGAAAGCAATTTTTTGGTTGACCATTTTGGTCCTGGTAATCCTTACAATTCTTGACGTTAATACGGTAAGTAAGACAGAAATCAACCATATATTTTGGAATTTGCCAATTTGTACATATGTACATAAAAATCAATTTGGAATGCTAAAGGTTGACGCAGCTTGTAACGGTCTTCGTCGGCTGAGCTGTCATGTCCAGTGCAACAGAACGACAAATTTGTCACCAGCAGCAAAAGCGACTCTCTGTACTTATTGTTTTTTTAGATTGTCGACACGTTATTGGTTAGTGTATTAGTTTAGTTATTATTGCAATATCGTCCAAAAATTGATTTGGACGATTAAAGGTGTGGTATCTTCCTAATTTTTTTTCAAACGAACGTTGACATCTTTCGTAAATTGTCAAATAAGGATAGATTCATTTCTTTACAATTTTGAGCATACAGGTATTTCTGAATTTATGACTTCAATTACATAAATCAGACTTATTCAAATCTCGCATGTCTCTCACTTTCTCCAAATCTAGTCACACAATCTTTCAAGATTTTAAAATTGAGACTTTTTAACAATCTAGATTCTACACCTATTACAATTCACTCGGTCCACACATTCTCAGCATGCCTCCTCCCAAGCATATTTCCGGTTTCAGTCTCGCTCACAGACTTTACGAACAGTACGAATCTGGCGAACATGTGGATGCTGCATTTTCAGTAGGTGACCGGAAGCTGTTCCTTCACAAATGCATGCTCTGTGCGGCCTCTGAAGAATTCAGAAACATATTTCGGCACCAAGAAAATCTCGGAAGTCTTGACCCCAATACGATCTCTCTTCCAGAGGAAACGTCTCTCGAAGCAGTGAAGGAATTTATCGTGGTACGAAGAGAACGGAAAATTATGCCGATTTTGCATGCCATATTTTTAAAATGAGACATTTATCTTGTTATGGGCATATTTAGGTCATTTACTTTTGTGAAATTGACACCACCCTCGAAATTAACCTGCTCTTGGAGGTGCTGTCGCTCTGTGACAAATTCTTACGGGACGAATTTTTGGACCAGTGTTTGATCCACGTGGTGGAAAATATTACGAAGGATAATTGTGCCGAAATTTGCGAGACGCATTTCGTAATGCCAAGATGTCAAGTACTATTTGATGTAGCGTGGGAATATTTAAAGTGGTAAGTTTCTGAGAAATTTAGGAGAGTAAATTACCTAATATGAAATTTGATATGTTCAGATTCCAGATTTTGTTTTACAGGAGTATTATTCGTGAGCAGATTGGTGGCACATGCGACTCTAAAGGAATATAGCTGAGCTCAGAGATTATGCTAACGCTACTTGGAATGCTTAAAATAGGTCTTTCATTTAATGTAATCACTTGTAATTTTAGCAGCCTGGTTAAAATATTGGCTATAAAAGTCTATTCACTTCATATTTGTAATGTAGTAATCAATTTATGAATTACATAAATGTATTAATTTTTACATAGTAGTAAAATATTATGATTGTAGCAAAGCAATATAAAAATCATGCTCTTCGTAATGCTAGATATGTATGTAACTTGCCTTAATTTAGCCCTCAGATTTTCATATTTCGAAGAAACAATAGGTTCAGTTAAGTTTATGAATAGCTAAATATAAGAGAAAGACGTACAACATTTACATAAATAAATACATTCGGCTGGCCTTGATATGTTCTTGAAATTGAATTCTATTCTGCAATGTCGCGGTCACGAAATACGGAAAATGCAATTATTTTGCAAACTTTAATACATAGGAAAATTGGGGTCCGAAATCGAGGCAGCGGCCAAATTCGAGTGTAAAATAATTTTTAAAATTATTTCCCGCGATATTTGAGAAAATTTGGACGAGTTTGAATGAAAGTCCAAACTTAGCAAAAAATTCGCACATTTTTGCGTAGATCTCAAAATCCACCAATGGGCCCCCCAATTTTATTACGGATTTTTGATCTACTCAATTTTACGCAACTTTTAAGGTATCTAACTTGAAAATCGTTAGAGCGCGAAAAAAACATTTCATTGTATATATCTATCTTAATAATCCAATTCGACTGCATTTTAGTGTTTAGCAGTGTTACAACATGATCTCAATTTTGTATGTGAATGACATCGACGTGAGTCAGTTCAACAATGAATAAATAAATCGACGAAAATGAAAATACATGCGATTATAGATGCGAGCATCATTTTTTAGCTCTTTGGAAAAAGTGGTGGCCCTTAAAAGGGCCGTTGGGTTTTTTTTGTGAAAGTTGTGGGTCAGTCAGGTCATAGTCTACTTGGAGGAGGTGTATTTGGTGACAGCCTTGGTGCCCTCAGAGACGGCGTGCTTGGCGAGTTCTCCTGGGAGGAGGAGTCGGACGGCCGTCTGGATTTCCCGAGAGGTGATGGTTGACCTCTTGTTGTAATGGGCCAGGCGGGAGGACTCGGAGGCGATCCGCTCGAAAATGTCGTTGACGAAAGAGTTCATGATGGACATGGCCTTGGAGGAGACGCCGGTGTCGGGGTGGACCTGCTTGAGGACCTTATAGATGTACACGGCGTAGGACTCCTTCCTCTTGCGGTGTCGCTTCTTCCCGTCCCCCTTTGGTAAGTTCTTGGACTTGGACACGGCCTTCTTTCCCGCAGCCTTTCCTCCGGTTTTGGGTGGCATCTTGAAAAGTTGTAGTTTGAGATCTGCTTGGACTGAATTCAGAAAGTAGAATGATGATGGGACCGAGGCACGACGAACCTTTTATATGCGGAGGCTGAGTTGTGAGCTGAGTTGTGGAGAACTCAACAGAGTTGTGGAGAAAATGGAGGGAAAATCTTGTGTTGAGTTGCTGAGAGACTTGTTGGGTTCTCACTTGCGACTTGCGAGGGAACTCGAGTGGAGAGAAGAGAGAGGAGGAAAAAGTCTACCCGGTTCATCAACGTCCGCACTCGCTCTCGAGGTGTGTATATAACCAATCTCATTTCGGTCAGTGTGCATCACTCGTCAACTCTACACTTTTTGGAATCCTACTTCTCATTCAAGTAATTCAAAATGACTGGTCGTGGCAAGGGAGGAAAGGGACTCGGCAAAGGAGGCGCCAAGAGACATCGTAAAGTCTTACGTGACAACATCCAAGGAATCACCAAGCCTGCCATCCGTCGTCTTGCTCGCCGTGGGGGTGTCAAGCGTATCTCTGGCCTTATTTACGAAGAGACCCGTGGAGTCCTCAAGGTCTTCCTTGAAAACGTCATCCGAGACGCCGTCACCTACACCGAGCACGCCAAGAGGAAGACGGTCACCGCCATGGACGTCGTCTATGCCCTCAAGCGACAAGGCCGCACCCTCTACGGATTCGGCGGTTAAACTGATCTCGTCCCTTCATCAAGCCCACCTTATCAACATCTTATAACCCAACGGCCCTTTTAAGGGCCACCACATTTTCCAAAGAGCTTAATCAATATATCTACGTTGTAATACATACATGATATGATGATGTGGAAAGAACGACATAAAATTAAAATTTGTATGAAAAATAAATACAAACTGAAATGGTTCTCAAAATTACTTTGCTGTGATGTAAATGATGAAAATCTAATAAATTTTGCATACATGACTAACGTTTGAGTCATTGATGATTATGCATTTAAATATTATGGCAATGGCGATTTTGTCATGCGAACGAAGGGGTTGGAGGGAAAGCATCACATTTGTCATGGAATAGCAATCCTTACAAGATCGCTCATATATGCATTTGTGGGTACAAGGATTTTTGCAAACGGGCGAATGGTTGAGGCTCGTCTACCATTTTGTTGGTGACCAATGACCATTGTCGCAATCACACAGCTCATTTGTCATCATTAATAATTGTCGAATGGTTTAACAAGCAATGTTTTGAATGAATAGCTTTCCGTTTTGCTACCAATTGAAAGTAAATTAAGTTTTCAGCAAAATATTTCCATTGTGCTCGATTCATCTCTAGTTATTAGCTGAAAATTATGAAAAACAGGACGATAATTAAACCATAGCTCTTTGGAAAAAGTGGTGGCCCTTAAAAGGGCCGTTGGGTTAAAGTTTGTTGTCAGAAGAGAGGATGATGTTTAAGCCTTTTTGGGGGCAGCTTTCTTGGCTGGCTTCGCCTTCTTGGGGGACTTTGCTTTCTTCGCCTTGGGAAGCTTGACCTTTGGTGCCTTGGCTTTTGGAGACTTCTTGGGCTTAGCAGCAGCAGGTTTGGGTGCGGCTGGAGAAGATGCTGCGGCCTTAGCCTTCTTTGGCTTGGCAGCTGCCTTCTTTTTTGGAGATGCAGCTTTCTTCGCCTTGGGGGCGGCCTTCTTCTTTGGGGAAGCAGCTTTCTTGGGTTTGGTGGTCTTCTTTTTTGGAGACTTGGCCTTCTTCTCCCCAGCAGCAGCCTTCGCAGCGACGGGAATTTTGAAGGATCCACTTGCCCCAGTTCCCTTGGTTTGGGTCAGTTTTCCCGTCTCAACCAATTTCGTAATGGCTTTGCGAATGAAGGTGGCTTGCTTGGTGGTGTCAACCTTGTAGGTGTCAGCGATGAACTTCTTGACTGCTTGTAGAGAAGAGCCATTCCTTTCCTTGAGGGACTTGACCGCGTTGATGACCATTTGCGTAGTTGGTGGATGAGACGCAGCTGCCTTCGCCCCCTTTGGCTTTGCAGCGCCAGCCTTCTTCGGACTCTTGGGAGCCTTGCCTTTCTTCGCAGGAGCGGGAGTGGCCGCTGGAGCGGCAGTCGCAGCTTCTTCGGACATGATGATCAGTTTGTTGTTTTTGATGATTTTTCTTTCAGTGAGAGAGACAGCAGTGGTTGACGCAGGATGAGGCAAGTTTGAGATTGAGACTGAGTTTATAAGGGGATGGAGATACGAGAGTGCCGACGTACTCGGGGCGGCTGCTTTCCCTCCTGAGTTGCCAGAGTGGCGGTTGAGTTGTGGGCAAGATTTCTTGCATGGAGGGAAAAAGTGAGAACTTTATGGATGGAGGGATTTTATCATGTAGCTTGCCTTGTGTGATATTTGCTTGTATGCGTATGAAGTATGCGTATGGTGTTATGAATTGGTAGTTGAAATCGTATCGGACTACTTTACTTTGCAGTTAATACAAATCTTCGAATGCATGTCATTAAGCAACCATCATGTAAATTATTTGTAATTTTGATAAGTCATCCATTGATCTGTCTCCACTTTTACCGTATAGTGAAATTTAATTATGTGAAATGTGAATGTGTCTCCCACATTAAACCAATATAATGAACCTGATGAAATTATGAGCTCTCTCAATAAACTCTCGCATCACAATTAATGTCAAAATTTGGAGGCACTTGCACAACGGTCTTCGAAGGTGTGGGAACATTAACATTTTAGAACAGAGAAGGGAGGGGTTTGTATAGCATGGGTCAACGATGCGGACATCAAATAACCGTGGGGACATTTTCTGTCCCCTCACACGGTAGTGCAAATAATAATTAACTGCATCATCATCAATGATATTCATGTATGCAAAATTTATTAGATTTTCACTCAAACACTGCAGTAATGCAATTTTGAGAACCATTTCAGTTTGTATTTATTTTTCATACAAATTTTAATTTTATGTCGTTCTTTCCTCCATAATTATCAACCGACAAAAAGCCAAGAATCGTAAATTAAATCAATCCGTGCAAACTTTAACAGCATACAGTGTGATCAGTGATCACTATGCTGAATTTACGAGTCTTTATCCGATAAATCGCATAATCTCTTATTATAAACTTGACCAGTGCAATAATAATTAAACACATCATCATATCATGTATGTATTACAACGTAGATATATTGATTAAGCTCTTTGGAAAATGTGGTGGCCCTTAAAAGGGCCGTTGGGTTATAAGATGTTGATAAGGTGGGCTTGATGAAGGGACGAGATCAGTTTAACCGCCGAATCCGTAGAGGGTGCGGCCTTGTCGCTTGAGGGCATAGACGACGTCCATGGCGGTGACCGTCTTCCTCTTGGCGTGCTCGGTGTAGGTGACGGCGTCTCGGATGACGTTTTCAAGGAAGACCTTGAGGACTCCACGGGTCTCTTCGTAAATAAGGCCAGAGATACGCTTGACACCCCCACGGCGAGCAAGACGACGGATGGCAGGCTTGGTGATTCCTTGGATGTTGTCACGTAAGACTTTACGATGTCTCTTGGCGCCTCCTTTGCCGAGTCCCTTTCCTCCCTTGCCACGACCAGTCATTTTGAATTACTTGAATGAGAAGTAGGATTCCAAAAAGTGTAGAGTTGACGAGTGATGCACACTGACCGAAATGAGATTGGTTATATACACACCTCGAGAGCGAGTGCGGACGTTGATGAACCGGGTAGACTTTTTCCTCCTCTCTCTTCTCTCCACTCGAGTTCCCTCGCAAGTCGCAAGTGAGAACCCAACAAGTCTCTCAGCAACTCAACACAAGATTTTCCCTCCATTTTCTCCACAACTCTGTTGAGTTCTCCACAACTCAGCTCACAACTCAGCCTCCGCATATAAAAGGTTCGTCGTGCCTCGGTCCCATCATCATTCTACTTTCTGAATTCAGTCCAAGCAGATCTCAAACTACAACTTTTCAAGATGCCACCCAAAACCGGAGGAAAGGCTGCGGGAAAGAAGGCCGTGTCCAAGTCCAAGAACTTACCAAAGGGGGACGGGAAGAAGCGACACCGCAAGAGGAAGGAGTCCTACGCCGTGTACATCTATAAGGTCCTCAAGCAGGTCCACCCCGACACCGGCGTCTCCTCCAAGGCCATGTCCATCATGAACTCTTTCGTCAACGACATTTTCGAGCGGATCGCCTCCGAGTCCTCCCGCCTGGCCCATTACAACAAGAGGTCAACCATCACCTCTCGGGAAATCCAGACGGCCGTCCGACTCCTCCTCCCAGGAGAACTCGCCAAGCACGCCGTCTCTGAGGGCACCAAGGCTGTCACCAAATACACCTCCTCCAAGTAGACTATGACCTGACTGACCCACAACTTTCACAAAAAAAACCCAACGGCCCTTTTAAGGGCCACCACTTTTTCCAAAGAGCTAAAAAAATTACCTGCATTTATTTATGATTGATGGTCATGTTGCACAATTTATTGACGCAAATTTGAGGTCATGTAATGTTGCTAAAAACAAGGACAAAATTCAGTCTAGTTTGATTATCATGATTATATAAGCAGTATTTTATTATTCGACTTGTTCATAACATTGAGGCAGAGTGAGATTGCATTTTGACCCGATTATTATCTAAAGAAGCTGAAAATAAGTTTGGTTTATTTCTTATAAAAATTTATTACATCACATTTATGTGCGTCAACATCCGTTCCGTTAATAAATTTTACAAGATAATTTCATAAACGTTGCAACTTTTTTGTGCTACTCACAATTTGGTCAGTGCATACAAATAAGTAATTATATGAAATTTTGATGAGCATGAGAGATACGTATTTGCAGCGATATATTTATAAAATCTGCATGGAAAATCCATATAAAGTGCTAAAAATCTTGCGTAAAACATAACGAGTATTATTCCGGTTAGAGGTTATCTTGTACAAGCCTGACTCGAAGTCAATCGTAACCAAACTATAAAGGAGCATTATTATTCATCGTATAAATTTGACGAGGATGAGATTCCTGATTCAATTGTAACAGTAAATGCTCTGAAAATGAAGGTAAAGACCCGTTTCATCTTATTTTACATCATTAACTAACTGCACTATTTATTTTGTTGAATAGTTTCTCATCAACTAATAAACGCATGAAAATAATTGATGAAGCAAAGTTGAGCATGAACGAATAAAGTGCAATTATGTTAGTACTGGATTATTTTTTGAGCTCTTTGGATAATGTGGTGGCCCTTAAAAGGGCCGTTGGGTTTTGAGCGTGTAGATTTGTGATTAGGCGGACTTCTTTTCCGACTTCTTGGGGAGAAGGACGGCTTGGATGTTGGGAAGGACACCTCCCTGGGCGATGGTGACCCCGGAGAGTAGCTTGTTCAACTCCTCGTCGTTTCGGATGGCGAGTTGGAGGTGACGGGGGATGATCCTGGTTTTTTTGTTGTCTCGGGCAGCGTTTCCAGCCAACTCGAGGACTTCAGCGGCCAAGTACTCCATAACCGCAGCCAAGTAGACGGGGGCACCCGCACCCACTCGCTCGGCGTAATTCCCCTTCCTCAAGAGACGATGGATACGACCCACTGGGAACTGGAGTCCTGCACGGCTGGATCGGGACTTTGCCTTTCCCTTCACCTTTCCTCCCTTGCCACGGCCAGACATGATGATGAGTTGCTTGTTGTTTTTGGAACTTGAGAGATGTTCTCAGAATGAGATGTGAGCAGCTTGGTATGGACTTTGTTGGAGTCGAGCTTGAATTTATACCAACGGGCTGAGTTGCTGAGCAGACCTCTTGAGTTCTGAGGAGCGAGCGGGCTTTCACTGCCGCTCACAAACCAATCCTCTTTCTCGCTCAGAACTCAGCCCTTCTCTATAAAACCAGCAGTCCAAACGGAAAACTTCATCACTCGCTGTCTCATCTTCCTCTTGAGAACAACTCAAATCTACAAACAAACAGGAATGGCTCGTACCAAGCAAACTGCTCGTAAATCCACTGGAGGGAAAGCCCCCCGCAAGCAGCTCGCCACCAAGGCTGCCAGGAAGAGTGCCCCTGCGACCGGAGGTGTCAAGAAACCTCATCGTTACAGGCCCGGAACCGTCGCCCTCCGAGAAATCCGTCGTTACCAAAAGAGCACTGAGCTTCTCATCCGCAAGCTCCCCTTCCAACGACTCGTGAGAGAAATCGCTCAGGATTTCAAGACGGATCTCCGATTCCAATCCTCTGCTGTCATGGCTTTGCAGGAGGCGTCCGAGGCCTACTTGGTTGGTCTCTTTGAGGACACCAACTTGTGCGCCATCCACGCCAAGCGGGTCACCATCATGCCCAAGGACATCCAACTTGCTCGTCGAATCCGTGGAGAACGTGCCTAAACTGTTGTTGTCATCCAACACGTCACAAAAAAAACCCAACGGCCCTTTTAAGGGCCACCACTTTTTCCAAACAGCAGTCAATGATGATGATAATAAATATGATGCATGCTTACTTTCTCTTACAGTATTTGATTTGTGGTTGTTGCTGTGAGAATTTGATCGAAATTCTGATGATTGGAACTTTTAAGTTGAGACAGTATTGTCTAACGATCGTGCCTAAATGCCCATTTTATACGAAAGGCAATGCATGTACAATATCGTCTTGCATCTTCTCAATATTCACACGCCGAACTCACCATTTCGAAATATAATATATGCGATAAATTTAGTTTTTTCATTGTTTTTTCACAAATCTCTAATTATTATTAACCACTGTAATAATACTAATTTACTTAAATGCTCGAAATGGTATATTTGCATGAATGGAGACAAAAATCATTTAAATGTTCTCATTTTGTCGACTTCGATGTTGAGAAGGGAATGCATAAAATAACTAATGATTCGTTTAATATTAATTCCAAAAATATGAAATTTGTAATAAAATATGCTCCAAAGTAAGATGATAGAAAACATCAAGATGAAGGCAATATTTCATATCTTGCAGTGAATTAAATCTTACAATTTCTTTAAGTTTATTTATCAGCGACGATACAAATCTAATCCATCATTTAATAATATAATATTTTACTTTATTCATGCATCGGCATGCAACTATACAAAAAATGGTTTTTGACAAAAGTTAGTCAACATTTTCATGCAACGATTTTCACACAAAACAGAAATTTTAACCGTGCAAATTTCGGTTAAAATCAATGTATGATTTATGATTTTGCAATCACTGTTTATTATTCAACTCATTAAAATTGAGGCAGAGTGAGATTAAATTTTGTAAGCTGAAAATAAATAATTCTTGATCCGTTCCGTTAACCAATTCGCATGATAATTTCATAGATGTTTCAAGTTTGTCTATTACTTAATGCATGCAAATAATTATGAAATTTTGACGAGACTGCAGCGATGACATCCAATTTGCATGTATTTATACAATGTTAAAAACTTATGTAAAACATGTTCGAGTCTTTTTTGGGCTACCTTAATATTATCCACAAGTCTGATTAGAAATCAATCATAACTAAACTACGGGGTATTAATCATTGCATACATAAATTGCAGGAGGGCGAAATTACTGATTTCAATTGTAAAAGTACATAAATAAATGCTTTGAAGGCACAAGGAAAAATAATTCCTCATCCATCCACCCGTTTCATTTTATTTTACATCATTAACTAACTGCACTACTTTGTTGAAATTTCTCGTCAACAAATAAACGCATGAAAATAATTGATGAAGCAAAGTTGAGCATGAACGAATAAAGTGCAATTATGTTAGTACTGGATTATTTTTTGAGCTCTTTGGATAATGTGGTGGCCCTTCAAAGGGCCGTTGGGTTTTGAGCGTGTAGATTTGTGAAAGCTGAGGAATTAGGCGGACTTCTTTTCCGACTTCTTGGGGAGAAGGACGGCTTGGATGTTGGGAAGGACACCTCCCTGGGCGATGGTGACCCCGGAGAGCAGCTTGTTCAACTCCTCGTCGTTTCGGATGGCGAGTTGGAGGTGACGGGGGATGATCCTGGTCTTTTTGTTGTCTCGAGCAGCGTTTCCAGCCAACTCGAGGACTTCGGCGGCCAAGTAGACGGGGGCACCCGCACCCACTCGCTCGGCGTAGTTGATGATGAGTTAGTTGTATTTGAATTTTGAGAGATGTTCTCAGTTTGAGATGTCAGCAGCTTGTGATGGACTTTGGTGGAGTCGAACTCCACACGATCTCCCCAATGGGCACGTTTCACATAGACATTCGACATTTATAATTCCACCCCCATCCAAATCCAATAATTTCTCGTGTTTCATGGCCCGGTAGTTTCAAGGCTAATTGGACCAGGAGTACTACGGCTTCATCTTTTACCTAAACGAAAATGACAACTCAAATTTTCTGTAATAAGAAAATATATGTAGGAAATAAGTTTATAGTTTTAATACCTCAGGGAATTCTCTGGATCAGTGCCCTTCAGCATTCTTCTTGAAAAAACATACCAATGTTACATAATACCGTCATGTTAATTAATTAACAAAGTGTATACAAATAAATTTAAATAATTACTTTGCCAAATTTAGAATGGCCAATCCTTCATCATCACCCAATTGTCTTGCTCTCTCGTAACATTTACCAGCACATCGAGGCCTGTCCAGTTTCTCGTAAGCTTCACCAAGAGCAATTAGTAATCTACTATCATTCGGTCGCATACGATGCGCTTGCTTATGTAACCAGACATGTTTAATATGTCGTAGGTCTGTCCAAGTCCATTCCAAGGTCGATAATCGTGCTTGTTCACTTCTAAAAATATAAAACAAACACTTAAATGACATCATCCAACCCTGATAACATCAAAAACGAAAACATTAGAAAAATTTGAATTACCACCAGCTTCTCTATAACATTGGATCGCGGCATTGGAATTCTTTAACTCCATAAACTCACGACACATAAGAGTCCAAGCCGATAAGTAGTAGGGGTGAATTAGAGCTCTTTCAAAATACTCTATTGCTTTGGGATGTTCTCTCTTTAGACTGTGCAAGTTACCTGTTTAAATGGTTGAACTATTTAATTGTCTTTGAATTATCCTGTTTAAACTGTAAAAAAGCTTACCTATGATGCAACATGTTTCCACCCTATATTTATCGATTTCAACAGACTTGTTTGCTAAACTAGCAGGAAGTATTTTTCTAGTTTTACATACAGCATATTCGAATAAAGATCCATTTCATCCAATCTGTCCTCTAAATCGAATATCAATCGCCTCTCATCAACACCTTTTTAAAAAAAGTTTAAAAATCAAAATCGCAATTGGCATTTTATATTAAATTATTTCCTTACGTTGTACATTATGATACGCAATAGCAATGTTTTAATATACACGCTGTTATGAAACCCAGACTTTTGAAGTGCAAAATAAGTCCGAAGTGCTTTCTCGTTCATGTGAAGCTTTGAAGAGATGTGGCCGACAAAGAAGTACTTCATCCAACAATTGGGTAGTGTTTGCTCCAATAACCTAACTGAAATAATTCAAAATTATAACACGAATGATTATAAAATCGATATTACACATTGCATTAAACTAATTACCCGCTTCCTATCCATAATTAGAAAGGCCAACTCCACCCATGCCCCCAAATATAGTTATTCGAAGATATAGACGCCATCAGATAATCTGTTGATACATCAGTGTCTTCAAGTCGTCGGTTAATCATTCCCAGGAGGTATAAATCATAGGGGTCGTAATCTTGTGGATCAATATTCTCATCATACGAAGCTAGTATTTTGTTTGTCAATTCTCTCGATTGTCCCATTGTTTTGGATCCGACAGAACAGCTATCAATTTAATCATATATCTTAATTACATCAAATTATAACATACTTTTTTGCATAGCAAGGCAATTCCTTTTCCTACCTGTAAGTTCACTCATGCTTTCCAACCGTTTCTTTTCACAATCCAAAAACAGAGAATAAAAACGCAAAAATCGCAGAATTGGACACAACTTGGAAAATGGTTCAGCGACAAATGCACACCTGGTAATTAAATTAAATTATAGTCACACCAAACAATGCACAATTTAAAAAATACTTAAAAAATTAAGAATCAGCTCACCTCAAATATTCTCCATTATCGAAATAGGTCTTGCAAAGGAGATAAGTATCGTATAATTCTCTTTACTCAAACGATAGTGCAGAATAATCCGATAAGTTCTGAATATCAACTTTTACATGGTTTAAGGCAAAATTGAGCTCGGACATCCTGCATAAACAATTAACTCGTCAAATAAGCAATAAATTTAATGTGTGTAATTAATCACCAGCTTGAATTATTTTATTACTTACCATTTCACAGTTTTTGCTAAACCTCGTCGACTGCAAATTGCAGTCTGCAATTGTGTACTTCCGAACGACCTGCTTTTTTACCGTCTTCATGTCAAGGTTCAGCGAGTGGGGAGGCATTATTGCACAATGTGATTGATGCACAATAAACTTTGAAATTTGAAAATAATTCTAAATTAACGAGTTCAACGATATTTATTTAGCAAACTAAACAAAAATTTTGTTAAAATCCACACCGGCACAAAACTGCTGCTCAACTGCCGCCTGTTAAACAAACCTGGCTTTGGCATGAGAATCTCATGATGAGACTTTTTCGACGTTGAACTAGAGCAAAATCAAATTGGAGAAAGTTTTCATGCATATTTCTTATGAAAACTTGAGATTATTTTTTGCTGAAAACCGACATGCTGATAAGTGATTCATCGATAAGCTTATGAAATCTAGTTGTGTGGTATGAATACAATTATAGGATTCCTATTATTCTATGCATATGAATTGCAATTATTTATTGTACACACACAAAAGTATTTAACATGATTTTTATTACCACCGAAGCGGAGCAAACAGTTAGATTGTAATATTTTATTATGCACGTACTTATCGAATGAGCCAATAAAACTTTAAACGTTTCAACGCAACTTTAACAAGGATGACACTAGGATAATAATATTAAACAACATCAATTGATAGGAAAATGACATACATAATTTTTCACAAGTCTTCTTTCAAAGGCATAAAGATTAGACGTAGTTAATCACTTTTTCAAAGGAATTGTCTAATTAAAAATAAGGATGATATTTGCGAAAAAATGACAAATGGTCAAAATCTCACTTTTTCGCGAAAATCATTTTTAATTAGACAATTTCCTTACAGAAAAAGTTTTGGAACATCTAATCTGTCATTTAATAAATGACACGAATCTGACTAAATTTGTAATCTTCGACTGCTTTTTGAAACATTTTAAAATATATTTATAAATGCCATGTTTTATTTGTGTACATATAATTTCATGCTAAATTGAATTGCATAAAAAATGTCGAAGTATAACTCTATCAGCAAAATCTTAATTTTTCTTCTTTTGTACATTTTCTAATAGTCTTCAAATTAGGCAATTGGCCTCCATCAAAATTTGTAAGTTGTGATTAATGATCGATTACCAAACTTTGGTAAGCAGTGTATGTACATTCTTCGTGTTATGTTTTAAGTAGATCCAGGCATGTGTGGTTAAAAAGCATCACTTGAGAAAAGCAACTCAGAATTTTCATGCAACGATTATCTCGCAAGCATCAATTTTAACCGATAAATAAAATTTGGAAGTTGTGTTTCATAAAAATATTTATTTGCCATTCGTTTTAGATATTACACATTTGGTAATTATTCAATTTTTAAATTTCTGACCGCGTCGATAAAAGTTTGAACGTTTTCGGTCGGTGTTTCCGGATATACGTAGGTGTTTTATTATTAATTTTCAAAAGGTATGTTCCGCACTGTTTCTGACCAAAATTGTGATGAAATAACAAACTTCAAATACATTTAGGAGGCTGTGATTTTTTTCAACTCTGTGGGTTAACATAAACACTAGCAATAAATCGGCAAACTTTACCTCGACGAAAAAAATGCTAGATTTGCAAATTAAATATAGTAGTGTGATTTAATTTTTAATGCTGGATGGGCAATACGTGTCGCAGATTTATGGTTGAATGCTTAAAATGTACAATGAAAACTGCCCAACACAAAACACAAATTAAATTGGGTCAATAATTTTTAATGATGGCGAAACGAGGTCTCGGGCAAAAAGTCGCAAGGACGCTCAAAATCCGCTTCTTCCACAGAAAGGCTCCGGAAACTAGAGGAACCAATAATGAGAGATCCGCGATTGAAACTGTCCTATATAGCAGATGAGATGGGTGTTCCAAAACCAGCAATTTGTTCCATGTTAACTGAAGACTTAGGTATGAAAATGGTTTCCGTCCGTTGGGTACCAAAATTGCTTTCGGCATCTCACAAACAGGATCGAGGCGACTTTTGCAATGCAAATTTTAACCTATTAAATGAAAACTGGAACCTGCTCAATATTTTATTAGCTGCATATGGTACTTGGGTTTACTATTATGACCCGGTGACCAAATAATAATTCCCTCATTGGAAGCACGAGGGGTTGCCACCGCCCGTGAATTGAAAAGTGCAAAAATCTGACAAAAAAATTGATGATGACCATTTTCAAGGATACCAAAGGTCCCCTCCTTATAAAATTTATTGCTGGTAATACTGCAATAAATGGGGCCGTGTATGCAGGAACCCCGAAGGAACTGCGTCCTCCGGTTGAAAAGAAACGTGGGGTCAAAATAAAGAGTTGGCCTTTTTTTAGACGACAACGCGCCACCTCATACCTGGCTTTTTGCGAGGGTTAGTGCAGACGAAAATCGCTTTACCTGCACAAACCACGCCCCGTGCAGTCCAGACTTGTCCCTTAGTGATTATTATTCGTTTCGAAACTTAAAGAAAAACATCAGGGGAAAACGGTTTTCGGATGATAATGAAATCAAGTCGTAAATTTTGGCATATTTTCGAGGTAAATTTTAATGAGTTATTGCTAGTGTTAATGTTAACCTACAGAACTGAAAAAAATCACAGCATCCTAAAAGTATTTGAAGTTTGTTATTTCATCAAAAGTTTGGTCAGAAACAGTGCGGAACATACCTTTTGAAAATTAATAATAAAACACCCACGTATTCCAGGTTGCAAATGTACTGATTTGTCCCGAAACCTTTAATCATGTCGTCCACATTCAGTTTGATAGATTTCTCGAGGAAATAGAAACATTTAAATATTAGTCATTAATCAATACTCTAAATTCAAATATAGACGACAATTTCACACCAACCTCTGATCCAAAAAGAACGACAGGATCTGAATTTCCCTGTAGAACGGTGCTAGAAATGGTCAAAGTCAAATTAGAGAAAGCTTTCATGTATATTCTTATGAAAACGGGCTTGAGATTATTTCTTCCCGAAAACAAATATGTTGATAAGTGATTCATCGATAAAGTCTAAAGCTTCACTCTTCAAAAATAATGCAGTTTTACACCACTTTTTGGAACAAATGCTGCTCTTGCAACGGCTCGGTGTCAATATTTTATTTCCAAAGATTTACATTAATTTGCATGCAGCAACAGATGCATGGTGAGCTTCATGAAATGAGTAAATCATTTATTTCCAGCTAAACTTTATATCGAATGTTTTAAAATTAACGTGGCATTTGAGTAGAATTTTCTTAATTTTATACATTTTAACCTTGGGAAATTTGAGATTTTAATAAATTAGAGTATTTACTACACGTGCATGAAACTTATTAAGGGCTCACGTTGAGTGGTCTAAAAGTGGGTGGAACTAGCAAGATAATTAACTTTACTCGAATTCTAGCACTTAATTATGCACAAAAAATGTCGTTTTACATCTTTTCCAACAAATGTCAAAATTGAAATTGTGCAACTATAAAATTATCTTTGTAGCAAAACGTGTGCCGTACAATCCTTGTAATAAAATTTCTATCTCGTTGGATTTTTGCCAGTTTGCTACTCACTTCAGGAAGAAAATAATCCGAATAACTTTTCATTTGCAACCAATTCATTTACTTGAGTAAATTTATAGTCTAAATTAAATTTATGAAAATTCAAAATGTTAAATCAAATGTTCTTGAAATCAAAATTTTCATTCGTCTAAAATATTTCATAACATTTAAATATTCAAATTCAAATTTATTTACAGATTTTATAAGCTATAGATAAGTTTGTAAACTTCAGTTCTTCACTGTTCCCAGAAAATTTACACGCGTATTAATTTTATTGCAATTTATCCTTAAATTACAAACAAAAATGAAAAGTAATGTCATTTCATACGATTTTTTGCATATGTTAAATTCATAAATATTTCCAGGATAAGTACATATTTGGATGAAAAATGTTTATTTTTTCCAGATGTGCAAATTTTTGGTGTTATATCAAATCACGAACTTAATCACACGATTCGGATAAATATGCAAACACAATACCCTGCGGGAAAAATCTCATTAAGATCTCCAATTTTAACGACCTGCTCTACAAGCTTGTCGAGAAATTTAAAAGAAATTCCCGGAGCCGAGAAATGAGTACAAACAATTTTTATGAATTTGGTGAGGACTCAGCGAGACGTTAACCAATGTGCACCAATTTTATTGGTAATTTATTGAGCTCGTTGCGACTGAACACAATATTTCTAAGAAGGATTTATGCATGTGAATACTTCACTTCGTGGCGTCCCATGACGCCACATTTTTCACCTTGCACTACGTTTTCTCTCATCGCATAGGAAATCAATTTGAGCAAAATATTGATCTATTGTGACGGTTAGATCAAGAGAACTCAATTAACTTTTCAAAATTTTAACAATTTTAATTATGAACCTCGACTACGACTTTGTCTAATAACATTGTGTACATTGAGACGTGGTGTAAAAGTGGGTGGAACCAACAAGATAATTAATTTCACCCGAAATTTATCATTTAATTACAAAGTCAATGAACAGAAATGCATCTGTGCCCTATTTTTGGAACTGATGCTACTCTTGAGACGTCTCGGCGTTAATATTTTTTTTACAGCGAGTTACGTTAATTTCCATGCAGCAACAGGTTAGTTTCATAAAGGAATCAATATTTCCAGTTAAACTTTGTGGCGAATAAGTGCATGGTTTAAAATCAACGTGCCATTTGAGTACAAATTTCTCATTTGCATTTTCACGAATTTATTTACCTTGATAAATTTATAGTCCAAAATTTTTAAATTTCTGAAAATTTCAAATGAATTTTCTCTTCAAGTGAATTTTTAGAATATGGTCTTTCCAAAATTTTTGTTATCGTAAATGTATTTTCATTCTTTATGTGAACGACTATTCTGTAAATGAGAAGCAAATTCACAAAATACTAAATATTTTGCAAAACTCGAGTTCCGAAAATGTAACATTTCATAATTTAATAAATATATTCCACAATTAGGTACGATTATCCAAACCCAAAAACAAAAATTGTATAGTATATCCTAAATGTTTATAGAACAAGTTACCCATTGTTAACTTCTGAGGGCTAAAATCAACAATTAAGAAATTTGTATTTCAATAAGAAATTCAGGTGGCATGTGATCCTAATTTTCATTCTCACTGTTACATTTTGGCTTTCTGAAGTAAAAATAGGATACCTTGTTCTATAAAACTTTAGGATATACGATATAATTTT